TCAGTGTTTCGACTTCAATTTTAGGAAAATGGTCTCAGGGATCAAATGGAAAACTAGTGTAATAGTAACTGGATAAAGGAGCAAATGTGTGATACTATTTTTTATCTCATAATTATACAAATTATATAATTATAGAAATTATATGTCATAATTATAGAAATATACTTCAGCAATTATGAAGTAACACTGTACCAACAATATTCCTAATGCAGCATAGATCTTTTTCAAATATTCTGCTGATCTAAGATTCCCATTTAAAAAGCCACAATAGTACTTACTTAGATTTCTTCCCTTTTTAAAATCCAATCTTTAGTATTACATGATTATGCACTATGCTATTAATCATTATAGAAATGTAACAGCAATAATAGTAAAAATTACCATAATGTAAATGCTGTCTTAGATTTAAATTACTTTTGGTAGAAGATTTTTTTATTGGGGTTGGTTGGCATTATGGCACAGCAAGTTAAGCCACCACCTACAGCACTGGAATCCCATTTTGGAGCAAGGTTTTAGTCTTAGCTGTCCACTTCTGATCCAGCTCCCTGCTAATGTGCCTGGGAAAGCAGCATGAGACAGCATGAGTACTTGTGCCCCTGCTACCCAAGTGAGAAACCCAATTGAAGTTCCAGGCTCCCGGTTTCACTCTGGGGCCTGGTCATTGCAGCAAGATCTCTCAACCTATCACCAACTATTTCAAAATTCCCTAAAAATATTTATTGATGTATAAAATAGATTTGTAGTTATAATCATGTGGTCCATATAACTTTTTCACCAGTATCTATTCCATCATTTAATGATTTTGTATAAATCACTAACATTCTGATGGTTTTAACCCCATGTATATTTAGCAGTAAATAAATTAGCATAAAATCTTAAGATACAAATTTATGTTCTATGACAGAATAGTTTCAAAAACTATTGACAATAAGACGCTGAACTTTATGCTAGGCATGTGTTTGCAAGCAATGAATCTCAACTGAACTTGAACTATGGTTATGCAACAAGGTGGAGGAATCCACCATGGGGGGAGGGGTATGGGAGGGGTGGAGGGAATCCCCAGCGCCTATAAAACTGTACTACATAATACAATGTAAGCAACAATAAAAAAAAAAAAAAAAAAAAAAACACTTGGCTTTGAGATCATTCACTCAGTAAAAAAAAAAAAAAAAAAATCCTAAAAGAATAACATTGGAAATCTGCTTAGTAACATAATTTTTTACCAAATTATCATTTGCAATCAAAAGCACTTAATAGGGAAAAAAAATAAAAGGATCTCTCCACTAAAAAGTGGCGTGTGATCGTGTGATCAAAAGACAAAAAAAAGCAGCAGGCATAAAATCTAGAGTAAATCCATATAGAGGCTGACTCAAAAAATGATTCAAAACATTTTCTGATAATTTGTCCAAGAAAACTCTTCTGACTAAAGTGGAAACACACATCACTGTAATACATACTCCATTATTATGCTCAATGCCAAATATTTGCTCATGTGGCATTTGGACAAGAGAAACATCACTCATGGTGATCCAAATATTATAAGTTGCTAGAATACAATCACCATGACTATACAGAAAACAATGACAAAAGCTTGTACACTAATAAAAAAATTTCTCACAGTTCTAATATTTGGCACAAATTACATTTTTCTGAACTGCTTCATTTTGGTACTCAAAGTTTTACTCAAAAGGAATTGTAAAATTTTACCTAGTTCTTTCTAATTTCTACAATTCTAGTTGTTGAAGTAAAGCACCTGAATTGCCAATTTTGGAAGGCCACAAACTGTTTTAACTGAATAGTTACATAATACAAGCCTGTTTGAAAAAAATAAAGGAAATAAGTTCTGCAGATATTGACATTAAATCAAGAAAATATTATTAAACATATGATTGATGCTCTCTTATCCATGGGTCTACATTTGTAGATTTAACCAACTATGGATTAAAAACCTTCAGGAAAAAATCCTGTATGCACTGGACACATGAATACCTTTTTCTTATCATCACTCTCTAAAAAATACAGAACAATAGCTATTTAAATTGTGCTAGATACTATATGTAATCTAGAGATGATTTGAAGTATATGGAGGTTATATTAAGATACTATGTCATTTTATATAAAAGAACTGAACATCTAAGAATTTGGTATCTACAGGGTGTCCTGGAGCTAAACCCCACACTTATTCTGGGGAATGACTACATCAAGCTGACTTACGCTTTTCCTAAGTGTCCCAACTCTGATAGTTCCTATCAAAACTCAAGTAGAAAATACAAGAGAACTTTCCACTTGAAAACATCTAAATTACACATGCTAGAAAACAAAATATTCTAAAGACCAAATGTCAACAAAATCACAAGTGAAATCCAAAATATACCACACTTCATTATTAAATATATTTATCTCAAATGCAATATACTGAGCCTGTGAAATTATGTTACAAAACTTTATATACACATATATGAAACACAAATTCTCCCTTAACCTCCTAAAGTCCACCAAAAATAAACAGGTAGGAGAAAAAACAAATATAATGAACAATTCAGTTCTTTTTCACCTAAATTGCTGTCACTATATTAGTCCTTCATAAGATCAGAAATATTAAAGACATCTTAAAGGGCATACTTCATGCTTCAGTTGACCACCATTCCTCGATTCTAAACCATTTTGTTTCAAGCGATTTTGTTTGCTGACATTGTTGTAATATAATTCTCCTATTCAGCAACACATAATAATTCTCCACTATGTATTGCAAGGATAACAATTAATTCTTTCACACAGGTAAGCTGGAGAGGTAGCAATAAGCAGTCCAGCTCAGAAAGAGCTACATTAGACATCCCAACAGGTAAGTGCTTTCCTAAGATTCACAAACCCAGTACTCATCTTAAAAATTTTTATTTATTTGAAAAGCAGAGTGACAGAGAGAGAAGGAAAAACAGAGATCTTCTACCTCCTGGGTTTCTTCTGCAAATGCCCCCAACAGATAGGCCTGGGCCAGGTTCAAACCACAAACCTACACATTCATAAGGGTCTCCTGTATGAGAGACAGAATCCCAGTACGTAAGCCACCACCCACTGCCTTCCCAGACACATTAGCAAGAAGCTGGATCAGAAGCAGGGGACTCAGGAGTCAAACCAGCTCTCCAACATGGGATATTGGCATTCCAAGCAGTGGCTTAATCCACTTACCTAGTTCTCTTCACTTCCTTCTATCGTCATACTCATTCTATTTACTTTTAAAGTTCATTGTACTGTGTATTCTGTGTTAATCACTGGACTGAGACCATGGCTACAAATTATGAAAAAGAACATTCCTTTTCATGAAGGTATATATTGGGGAGAAGGAGGCACAATAAATTACCACAATGTACTATAAATATTGTAATAGAAATGTATATGAAGTACTGTGGGTCACAGAAAAATAAGCTACCATCTGACTCAAGTAAAAAATATGTCTTTAGAGCTCAATGCAGTAGCCTAGTGGCTGAAGTCCTCACCTTGCATTTGCCAGTATCCCATATGGGCACCAGATTGTGTTCAGCTGCTCTGGCTGTGTGAGGGGATGACTTTAGCAAGTAGGCTACCATGCTGGGTCTGCTATTTTCTTTATAAAGGAGATACTGGATTAGACTACTCTTCAAAGGTTCCTTGAATTTTAACAGTTTTTCTTGACCTTTTACAGAACTCTTTATGATACTTTAAATATAGCATTCAAATAGTTATTCCTGCTTTTCAAACATATTACCACAAAATTTCATAGTGCTTCAATCTCAAGTATAACAGATGTTAACAATTATGCTATTAAATCCAAGAAAACATTACTAGGCCTTCATATTTTTTTCAATGATCTTTTACTAAATGATAAGAACCATTTACGTATTTCAGTTGGTCAAAGCAAGGAATTGGGAACTCAATCCATCAGTAGCTGGAGGTGGTACTGAATCCAGGCGCTCCAACAGTGGATCCAGCACATCTTAACCAGTAGGCCAAATGCCTGCATCTGTCTTAAATGGAGCCCCTTAATAATAGCTATCTAAAGGGTAGACATATGGCTCAGGAATAAGTTGATACTTGGAATTTTCACATCTCATATCAAAATTCCTGGTCTGGGATGCAGATTCTCACTTCAAATCCAGCTTTCTGGTAAGGTGTGTCCTGGAATACAGGAGACAGTGGCTCAACTAGTTGGGTCTCTGCCACCCATGTGGAAGATCTAGACCTAGTCTAGCCCTGATTATCATAGGCATTTAAGGAGCAAAACAATGGTTAAGCAGTGCTCAGTCTCTGTCTCTTTCTGCCTTCCAAATAAAGTGTGGGAAAAATACTGATCAAATAGGAAAAGTCTGGGATTAACACAAGCCCAAATGCTATACTGAATACCACTTTGTTCTTTTTTTTAATGTCTTTCTAAAAATCAGAATATATATGTTACTTCATAAATTTCTCTTCTATTTTCTGTATTATCTAAACCACCACCAGTTACAAATGTGTCACTTGGGGGAGGGGAGAGAAACTTACTACATGAATATATAACAACTTCTACGTAACAATAAAAAACACTCAGGAGTTGAGGACAAGATCACAAAGAATGACAATCAGCATCATAGTCTACCATGATCATCATCACCTTAAAGGAAATACGAGAGTAGCAGCTAAGGTGGGGTGGGGAGAACAAAGAAACAGATGTACCACCCAAGAGCAAGGAAAAAGATATGCTCAGGATGCTCAACTTTGTTTCAAAGTATATAAAAAATGACTTGGGTCCTTTCTATTATCACAGAGAAACTAAGTGAGCTCATGCTACAATGTTATAATTTCAAGGCTGTTTGCAGATTTTCCCCACTACCATGTGTCTGAAGGAATCAGTTTAAAAACAAATTACCACATGTTCTTGGTCACACTGTTATGTGCTGTCACATTATTCAGAGATACAAAGTAAATATAACGCAATAACTATAGCAAAGACAAACGGTCAAAGATGCGGCCGGATTCACCACTCTTACCTGTTCACTCTCCTAGGACACTTGTCTGGTTTAATATCTACCTCATAGAGGTAGACATCGATCTTTGGGATTTCAACTTGAAAACAGTTAGCTAGCAGTTTAATGGGTTTGCCCATGGTGCCATAGCCGGGTCTTCTGGGCACCATGAGTAGGGGCTGGGCCCCAACAGGTCCTGCCAAGGAAAACAAAAAGAGTCACACTATTATAAACCACACTTAATAATCTTTTCAACTAGAGCATATTAAAACTCTAAGCACAGATACTAGTGTCTAAAGCCTACTACTGAAAGATGACAAATTTCAACTTAAACACATTTAGTACTTTATCTTCCTTCATCCCAACTTCCTTTTTTCATTAAAAATTTTAAAATGTATAAATTTCTGCAAGAGAAAAAGATAGGGGAAATCAAACCCAGGTAAGCATGATGAGTCAAAGAGCGCAAGATCAACACCAAAATAAAGAACAAAAATTAACAAGATAAAAAGTGATATACAATGAAAACCACAATCAGTTAAGCAAAAACGCAATTATTTGAAAAGATAAAACTGATGAGCTCTAGGCAACATTGCTACTTTTCAAAATTTATTTTTAGCTTTCTTTATATCTTCAAATTTCTATTGACTGATTTCATATGTTTGAAACACACGGGGTCAGACAAACAGATGAATTCCTGTCTGTTTAATCACTCAACAAAAGCCTGCAATATCCAAAGTTGACTAGAGCTCCATGTGGGTGTTTCCTGTGGGTGGCACGGATTCAGTGCTTGAGCCACCACCTGCTGCCTTCAAGGGCATACGTTAGCAGGAAGCTGGGGTTGAAGGTGGCAGTGGCATAGAGGTTTGAACCTAGGTACTCTGATACTGGACGCAGGCATCTCAAGCACTGTCTTCACTAGTGCACCAACTAACATTGCTGTCACTGGCACTCCAACCACTACTCGGCATACATTGTTTTCTTCTGTACCTAATTTCCTCAACTCTTACCTTTTAGAATCTTTTCTCCTGCCATTTTAAAATATTTTACTTTGATGACTTTATGATACAGTTCCATAAACTCTGGGATTTCCCTTCCCATCTCCTCAAATCCTCCCCCACCCACTGATTTCCCTTATATTATTATAGCAGTATAGTCCTTCATAAACAGACATAAGCCCATCATTCTGTAATTTAAGTGTATCCTGACACTGCAGGTATGGACAATGGCAAAGAGTCCAGCATCCTATTGTTAAGATATATATTTAACAGTTTCACTGGCAGTCCATCTTTAATTTGGAAGTAGAGTTGAATACTGCATTTTATCTTCATATCTGGATACGACAGTTTCTATCATACAGTTACTATACATCTCTTTAAGTGAAAAGCCACAAAACAAAATCAATAGGAAGAAAAATAGAAAATTTACATCATGAAGTTAAATAACATGCTACTGAACGACCAATGTGTCACTGAAGAAATCAAAATCAAAAACTTGCTTTTTTTTTTTTTAAGGTTTATTTTTATTGCAAAGTCAGATATACATAGAGGAGGAGAGAGAGAGAGGAAGATCTTCCATCCGATGATTCACTCCCCAAGTGAGCGCAACGGCCGGTGCTGAGCCGATCCAAAGCCCGGAGCCAGGAGCTTCCTCCAGGTCACGTGGGTGCAGGGTCCCAAGGCTTGGGGTTGTCCCCGACTGCTTTTCCAGGCCACAAGCAGGGAACTGGATGGGAAGTGGGTTCGCTAGGATACGAACTGCCGCCCATATGGGATCCCGGCACGTACAAGGTGAGGACTTTAGCTGCTAGGCCACCACACCAGGCCTGAAATCAAAAACCTTCTTGAAGAAAAGTTATTTATTCTATAAGGAAAAAAAAAATCATAGAACACTGTTGGCTTTAAAAAGGAGAAAAAGGCTTTAAATAACCAATATCAGAAGTGAAAAAATTTCATTATAGATACCAATTTCATTATGTTAATGAATTTTAAGCAGATAAATTCCAAGAGATATGACTTACTGAAACACAAAAGTATGGACAATCTGGGGACGGGTGTTTGGCACAGCAGTTCAGACACTGCCTGGGACGGCCACATCCCCTGTCAAAGGGCCTGGGTTTGAGTACCTGCTCCACTTCCAATTCCAGTTTCCTGTTGATATAGGGGCTGGTGGTGACTGCTGAAGTAGTTGGGTTTCTGCCACTCACATGAGAAACCTGATCCCACCCCAAGTTTCCACATGCTTTCGGGAAGTAACCAAGAAATGAAAGACCTCTCTGTTTTTTGTCTCTCTATATCTCAAAGTAAAATACTATCACACTACTACTACTAATAAATAAATAAGAAAGAGAGAAGGAAGTATAAAAAGTCCTTTGCTGATGGGAATATGAAATGATACAGCAGCTTTGAAAAATAGCATGGTGACTTCTCAAAAAAATTAAGACTTGTGAGGTTTATTAATTGTGTAAACTGCCTGCTGACCCAGACCACCAAATGTCCAACGGACCCCAAATCTCACACGTTCTCAGCAGACTGAGAATTTTGCAGAAGGCAGACTTTCTGCTGAGATTTGTTGACAAAGCGTGCCTGGGGAGGCACGAAACATCTTCATTATCGTCTTCCTCTTCCTTTAGTGACTGTGGCCTGAACGTCACTGAGTACAAAGTTCTGTTAGTTTCCATTTCTAGTTAGATCTGTTTGTTTATTGCTATTGGTTCCTGTAACTCACGTTTACTTATCCTGCTGCCTGAGACCTGGTGATTGTTCCCCTAATCCCTTATGATCCACAATTTGAATAGCTTGTATGATATTGTTTAGTTAATGAGTAACTTTTCTCTACCTGCTTGCCCTGCAAAATTGGTATAAGTTGCCCAGAAAAATTCAATAAAGTATGCCTTTGCCTCTTGCCTCTGCATCCCCTGCGTCCCAATTTTTCTGGGCGTGGCCATCACACCTCAAGTCCTGGTCCCCACTAGAGAGACCCCTGAGAAAGACTGACTTATGATCTATAATTCTATTTGTGAGTATATACAGAAAGAACTGAAAAAGGGAAATATTGGTGCATGAGTGCTCACAGCACAATTATAACTATAAATAGGTAAAAGCAACCTAAATATACACTGATAAATAAAATGTAGGGCCTGGTGCGATAGCGTAGCGGTTAAAGTCCTCACCTTGCACTCCCAGGATCCCATACGGGTGCCGGTTCTAATTCCAGCAGCCCCACTTCCCATCCAGTTTCCTGCTTGTGGCCTGGAAAAGCAGTCGAGGACAGCCCAAAGCCTTGGGACCCTGCACCCACGTGGGAGACCCGGAAGAAGCTCCTGGCTCCAGGCTTTGGATCGGCTCAGCACCAGCCGTTGTGGTCACTTGGGGAGTGAATCATCGGATGGAAGATCTTCCTCTCTGTCTCTCCTGCTCTCTGTACATCAGACTTTGCAATAAAAATAAAATAAATCTTAAAAAAAATAAATAAAATGTAGTATACACACACAATGGATTATTATTCAGTGTTAAAAGGAGATTCTGATACAGGTTACAACATGAATTAAACCTAAGATACAACATGCTGAGTAAAACAAATCAATGGAAAAACAAACAAACACTGTGTCATTCCATTTATATAAAGTTTCTAGTCAATTTAGTAAAAGACAGAAAGTAGAAGTATGGTTGCCAGCAGAGGTAAGGAACAAGTGTTAAATTGTTCAATGGATATAGCTTCAATTTTGTAAGGTAAGAATTTAGGGGATCTGTTGAAGAATGATGTGGATGTACTTAGCAAAACTGAGCTGTACACTTGAAAATAATCATGAGACCAGAGTTATACTACATCAGATAAAACTGCTGCCTGCAATGCTAGCATCTCATATGGATGCTGGTTTGTGTCCCAGTTTTTCTATTTCTAATCCAGCTCCCTGCTCATGGCCTGGGAAAGAGTAGCAGAAAATGGCCCATGTGTTTGGGACCCTGCCACCCTGCCACCCATGTCTGAGATCCATAAGAAGCCCCTGGCTCCTGGCTTTAACCTGGTCCAGCACTAGTCATTGAGGCCACCTAGGGAGTAAATCATCAGATGGAGGATCTCTCTGTCTCCCTCCATTTCTCCTTTTTCCTTTCTCTCTCTCTGGTATCCCTGACTTTCAAATAAAAGAAATCTTTCTTTTCTTTTCTTCTTTTTTTTAACGATACAGTTCCATAGGCTCTGGGATTTTTCTTACCACCGCCTCAAATCCCCTCCCCCAGCTGGTTTCCCCTATATTATTCCTATATTATTACAATAGCATGGTCCTTCATGAAACAGTCAGAAGTCCATCATTCCGTTATTTAAGTGCATCTTGACATTGCAGGTAGGGACAACGGCAGACACCTAATCTTCAAAAAAAATTTCATTTTACAGATGGGGAACCTGCCTAAAATTTCATAACTAGCAGAACTCATATTTTTACCCACCATGGTAGAACTCTATTCTGTTCCACTGATCTGTTTACCTATTGGTTCAACAAAACTATACTGTCTTGATGATTATAGCTTATTAGTAAGTAAGTCTTAAAGTCAGGAACTATCAGTCCTCAAAGTTTTCTGGGAACTAAATCAATAAGTATTACAACCTGACTTTTTTTTTTAAGGGGAAGTAGGTGTTCAATGCAATGCTTAAAACACAATTCTGGATGCCTGTATCCTACAACAAAGTGCTTGGGTTCGAGTTTCACCTCCACTTCTAATCCTGATTATTGTTAGTCTGCACCCCCGGAGGCAGCAGTCATGGCTCAACTAGTTAAGTCCCTGCCACACACATTTTTTTTAAAGATTTATTTTTTTTTTATTGGAAAGGCCAATATACAGAGAGGAGGAGAGACAAAGAAGAAGACAATGACTCACTCCCCAAGTGACCGCCACAGCCAGAGCTGAGCCAATCCAAAGCCAGGATCCAGGAGCCTCCTCCAGGTCTCCCACGTGGGCTGTACTCGACTGCTTTCCCAGGCCATAACAGGGAGCTGGATGGGAAGTGGGGCCACCAGGATTAGAACCAGCACTGGTATGGGATCCCAGCACACACAAGGCAAGGACTTTAGCTGCTAGGCTACCATGGGGCCCAACTCACACAGTTTGTTTCTGGCTTCAGGTTACTGCCTAGCTCAGCCCTAATTGTTGCAGGCACTTAAGGAATGCACAAGTAGATCTTTATCTTCTTATTTCTCTG